CTCTCATCATTGATGTTTCTATCTCTCCCTTCCTCTCTGAAATCAATAAAAATATATTAAAAAAAGAAAAGAACATGGGCACCACAACCCAGTTGCTGGCTCCTGTCAACCCAGATGCTCCAGGAAGCGGGGCCCAGGCTGGACTCATGAGGGGGAGGCCTGGGGGTGAGGGCAGGGCTGGGGAGGGCCGTGCATCGTCCTGCAGCTGGGGCTCCGCAGGGACGGGGAGTCCCTGAGCCACGTGGCCTGCGCTTCCCACCCAGCAGCCCGCCTGCTGTGCCCACTGCACTGTCACTGCCCGCGAGCCCCGGGGGAGCGGGAGACAGGGCTCAGGCACAGACACGGGGATGGGTGTCCCCGGGAGCCCCGCAGTGAGAGGTCTCGGGGTCCCCCTGCCGGGGCACAGGGCTCAGCTCTACCCCGAACCCGGTCAAAGCCCCCCAAGGAGGGGCAGGGAGGGGTCTGTTTCCTGGGGCTGCTGCTCTGATGACTAAGACCAGCCGAACCCAGCGGGAGCAGGGGCTCTCCCCGTCCTGGGGCCAGAATCGGAAATTGGAACAATCTTCACCAGGCCCGACCCCCTTGTTCACGCGAGCACTTCCCGTCTGCGGAGTGGCAGGCGGCACAGGCCTCCCAGGGCAGCTGGGTGCACCTGGCCCTCGCTCGGCCCCCGCTGGCCCTGCCCAAGGGGAACCAGGTGTGGTTCCGCCCATCCCAGGGCCTGCCTGGGAGGCGGCCGCCCTCTGCTGGCCGGTTCCTGTTCCTGCGAAAGGAGCGTCCCTGCCGCAGCCGGCCGGGAGCCCGCCCAGCACATCCTCCCATTTCAGTCGGGGCCGGGCCTGGGCTCCCTCCGCGGGCCGCCCTGCACGGCGCTGCTGTGAACACAGGTGTGCAGGGAACTGAGGTTCTGCTTTCGGTCTTTTAAAAAAATATATACTTTATTGATTTCTACAGAGAGGAAAGGAGAGGGACAGAGTTAGAAACATTGATGAGAGACATCGATCAGCTGCTGCCTGCACGCCCCATATTGTGGATTGAGCCCGCAACCAAGGTACATGCCCTTCACTGGACTCGAACCCAGGACCCTTCTTCAGTCCACCGCCGCGCTCTATCCACTGAGCCAAACCGGTCAGGGCTGCTTTTGGTCCTTTTGAGTAGAGATACCCAGAGATGGGGTTGCTGGACACACAGAGAGACAGAGATGGAAAGAAACAGGGACAGACAGAAACAGAGAGAGAGAGAGAGAGAGAGAGAGAGAGAGAGAAGATGGGTAGATGGAGTGAGATAGGGAGAGACAGACAGACGGTGGCTGAGCTGGTCCGGGAGATGGAGGGAGGGCCCCGCTCGCTCCGGGCTGCAGGCACTGAGCCAGCGAGACTTTCTCCAAACCCGCCAGGCAGCCTGGCGGGAAGGTCTGGGGTTTCCAGCTCCCTCGCTGGCTGGTCAGACTATGTAAAGGCCTCCCAGGCCCCCGCGGGTGGGGGCAGGGTTCCCAACTGGAATAGGTCATGTGATGGCAAGTCGTTTGGCCCAAAGAAAACGGCCGGAGAAGCCCGGCTGGTTCCCACATCAGCACCAGGTCGTCCAGTGTGAACCAGCTGTGGCTGAGGTGGGCGTGGGTGCTGCCAGGGGAAGTGCGCGTGGCTCTGGGTCGAGAGATGCGCTCAGGCCTCTGTGCGCGTGTGGGCGCGTGCACCTGCGCACGGGCGGTGTGAACGTGTGCGCGCATTGCTCTTTGTGGCTCAGAACGAAGGACAGGTTCTGACTTCACCACCCTCACCAACATGGCGCTGACAGCTCCCATTAGCATAGCAGTGCCTCCCGTCTTCTCCACGTTGCCCTCATCTGCGCATCCCAACCCCCAGGAGATGGGCACTGTGACAGATTTATATAGAGGAACACACAGCAGCTCAGAGGTCCCTCCAGGGCACAGGCTGGGCGGTGGCCAGGACTCGGACGCAGCCTCCAGGGTCCGAGCCTCTGCTCTTTCCTCCACGCGCTGCAGGGACAGCCTGCCAGGCGCTCTGCTCAGAAATAAGAGTGTCCCTGTGTGAGCGGAAAACAGGAGCAGGAGCTAGAATGGAGCTTTGTAGGGAACACACAGCCCGCGCTTCTAGCACCGCCCGAGCTCGCCCGGACGGGGAGAGCGAGGCTTAGGGGGGAGAAGAGAGCCGACTGTGTGGGGCCTGGAGGGCGCCACGGCGAGGGCTCCAACGCCGCAGACCCGCAGGGTAGGAACCGAACTTGTTGCAGCCGCTGGAGCCGCCGGGCCGAGAGCGCGGCGGGACAGCGGCCGAAAGCGCGTCATCACGCGTGCGCCGGAAGCGCCCAGGTCCAGGCGCCTCCTGATTGGCTGCGGTGGGCGCCGGCGGCGTCGCGCGTGCTCCTGGCCCGGGGGTGTGGGTGCCGTGTGCTGCGGTCCCTGCTGGTCTCCGCGGCAGTTTTACTTCCCCGTCCAGGACGCTGCTCCGCGAGCTCGGGATGTTCCCGGAGCTCAACGACCTCCTCAATGCCTCCCCGGACCGGGCGGAGCCGGTAACCCGCCGCGCGTTGGGGCGGGGCGGGGCCGTCCCTGGAGCCGGGCGGAAGCACGCGTCCCGGGCGCAGGGCACACGGACCCGCGGGCAGGACGCGCTGCCCACCGGCCGCCCGTGCTTGGGGGTTGTAGTCCAGGGAGGGCCGGCCGGGCGTGGGCTGGACCTCGGGGCCCGCGGGGCGTGGGTTTCTGGGCCTTCTCGCGGCTTCGCGAAGGCCGTGGGTGCCCGTGAACGATCTGGGACGCATGTTCGACGTATGGACGGACTTAGGTTCACAAACGTGTCCCGGGAGCCCTCGGCGTGTCACCCGGTGGGGGTCCCGGCGCCCGGGGGAGGCTGCCGGAGAGGAGAGGAGAGTTGGTTCTCCACCTTCACAGCGGCCCAGCCTCTGCCCCGTCCTGAGTGTCCTGGCCCGGGAGCCCCCGCAGGTCGCGGCGATCGCTGCTGCTCCCTCTCCTGGCGCCTAGAAGCGCGCTTCCCCGCTGCTCTCAGCCAGCGCGGGGCTGTACCAGGCCACCTCGGGCACCACAGCCTCGCACTGTTTCCCACTCCCCGCCTTCTGGGGCACCTCGACATGTTTCACCTTTTAGCCCAGGGCGGTTACCTCTCCCAGGAGCATCCCTGGTTCATCTCATAACCTTTGTCTTCGTAACGAAATGTCAAGCTCCCCCGGGCAGCCAAGACGCCTCTGTGACCCCATAGTGCCGGGCAAATCAGCCTTCGGTAGGTCCGTGTGGATTTCCTGGTTGCCCGGCAGCTCTCGTCTGCCCACGCCTGCAGGTGGCGCTGGCGCACCCCCGAGTGTTCAGCCCAGGGCCCAGCTGGGGAATGGAGGTCCCAGTGGGATGACAGCCCTGGGGGTCACCCTCAGGAGCTATAGTGTGATCTTTCATGTTTGTTTTGTTTTTAAGAAACACATTTTTTAATTAATTAATTAATTAATTAATTTATTGTTAATCCTTATCCGAGGATCTTTTTCCATTGAGTTTTAGAGAGAGTGGGAGGGAGGGGGAGAGAGAGAGAGAGAGAAACGTCAATACGAGAGAGACACATCGATTGGTTGTCTCCCCCACATGCCCCAACTGGAGCCAGGAATCCAGCCTGCAACCGAGGTGCGCGGTGCCTTTGACCGGAATCGAACCCGGGACCCTTCAGTCTGCGGGCCAAGCAGGCCAACGCTCTACCTACTAGTACTCAGCCACACCAGCCGGGGCATCTTTCATGTTTCATAAGTGAAAAAAGTCACAACAGCACAGAGGTGTCTAATCCCACTTGATCTTGACCTTCCCTTTTGCTGACAAGGAACTCGAGGTGCTGGGTCAGGGCCGCCAGGCATTGCAGAGACAACCATCCTGAGAGGCCTTTCCAGGGCTCCTGGCCAGAGCTCTGCCTGAAGCAGCGTCCAGGGCCATTGGTCACTGAGGTCTGTCAACAACCACGCCTTCCCTCCCTCCCACCTCCCCACCCTCTAGCGGACTCGGCCGCAGAATTAGAAATGGGAGGAAGCTGGAGCAGATGGTTTCTTGAAGGTCCCTTCCAGTGTTGGCAGACTCTGGTTTTTGTTGGATTCTGATGGTAGACGCTTCCTTTGTCCAGTATCTCATTCCCCCAACACTAGTCCCTGAGTTACTAGGTGAGGAGTGAGGAAGAGGAGGGATTTTATTCTCTGTTTTGCTTCGGGGAAAATGGAAGCCAAGATATGCTTGCCCTTAATGAGTGACTTTATACTGATCACTTTAATTGTTGTTTTTCCCACAATTTTTACTTCCTCTCTGATAATCCTAGTGCATGTGTGTTGTGCATACACACGTACACACATACTCTTCAGATTACACAGCCAACTGCCCTCTTTCCGGGGATCTGGATCACCTTTTCGTGTTCCTCTTAATTTTTAGGGGAAACTGACTCTACTCTGTGATGCCGAGACCGATGGCAGTTTCCTTGTGCACCACTTTCTCTCCTTCTACCTCAAAGGTAGGGGACCCATTGAGGCGACTGAGAAAGAAACCTGAGGCCAAACGTGCTTAGAAAAGCCTGTTTCAGGAAGAAGTGGGACTAGTCGGGGCTTCGGTGTCTGGGTGGCCAGGTGGCTGTTCATTAGAATTAACTACGTTCAGTGAGGCAGCTAGAGCTTCTTTGCGTTTCCTTTATATCGTCTCGGATGTAGGACCAGTTTTCAAAGTTAATTGTAGGGGCGATGGGAGGTAAGGACATATGTAACACCTTAATAAAGAAAAAAAAGTTAATTGTACTCCTGTACACCGACAAACAGAAAAATATAATTTTTTTAAAGGCCACAATTTATTTACACCGGAGCAAAATAAGGTACCCAGTAATACCTCTAACAGAAGTCCATCTCAGAATCAACTATAAAAGGTATAATTAATTAAGTATTTTAAAAATCGCGTCTTAGAATCAAATCTGGTATTTTAGGTCGCAAGACCTGAGTCTCTAAGGCCTGCCTGAGTGCTTCAGTGTCCAGAGGTGTGGGGGGCAGGAGAGTGACTGTACAGAGACATTGTTACGATCCATCTGTTTTGTCCCCCAGCTGACTGTAAGGTGTGCTTCGTGGCCCTCGTTCAGTCCTTCAGTCACTACAACATCGTGGGACAGAAGCTGGTGAGTATTTCAGACTCGGCGGTGAGGTCCGAGTGAGTGTGTGTGTGCCACACGTGTGAGTGCTCTGAGGCGGTGGAGAACTTAGCAAGAGAGGGACTAAGGCCGTGGTCGGCAAACTGCGGCCCCTTGAGTGTGGCTCTTCCACAAAATACCACGTGCGGGTGCGCACGCACAGTGCGATTGAAACTTTGTGGCCACACTCAAGGGGCCAAAGAGCCGCATGTGGCTCGCGAGCCGCAATTTGCCGACCACTAGACTAAGGAACTCGTGGGCCCCTGAACCCTTTATCTGAAGGGGTTAAACAGCATCTCATGTTTTGTTAATTTAGAATTTATAGACCCAGATCTTTGCTCGTTAACCAAACCCGTCTCTGCTGGTTCTGGGCCAGTCATGGTTTCCCCTCTCCATGTGGGCTTCCCTCTGGGCCCTGCTGGGCCGGCCGTCACAGCTGGTCTGCCCCAAGTTGAGTGGCTCCACTGTCTCTCCCTCAGTCTAGGGCTTAGGCCCAGATGTGGGGACAGGCACTTGGTCACCTGCACCTCATCTCCTCAGATAAAGGCAGGTAGCACGTGAGGGCCCAGAGGCTGCTCAGGGCCTAGTGAGGCGTGTGTTTTGTTTTGATAGGCCGGCCTCACGGGAGAAAACCGGTCACCCATCGGCAGCGATCTCTGAAGGGCCAGGTCACCGCTCCTCCCTGATGCAGGGAAGCAGGTGGGAGGGTGAGAGGGGTGGCTCTTTCTCACTCTGAGCAGTCAGGTCAGGAACACGCTGCGTTCCGGGTCAGGCACGTCCCCCCTGGCCGCGGCGTCGGGCTTTCTGGATGAGACAGCTGTGTCTCAGTCCAGATGGGCTGCTTTTCCGATGCCTGTGGCCTCACCGTCCACACGGCAGGGTGGTCTGCACATGCTGGGTGTGCACAGCCTCGAGCGGCCGTACCCGAACCTCACACCCTCTTGGTGGGTGACTGCACCTACACGAGCAGAATGGCCGTGAGCAAGAGCACAGGTGGCGGCCAGGGGGCTTTCTGTGCCCGGCGCTGCTGGTGGTGCAGAGTGGAGAGCTAGCGGGTGAACGAGCCATGGAGACCTGGCCCAGGGCTGTCCCCGTCCCTGCACAGAGAGGGAGGGTGCCACCATCCCGGGCGCTTTGCTGAAATGCTGACTCTTGGGCTCTGCCCCCCAAACTTCTGGTTCTGGTGGTCTGGAGTGGGGCTCAGGGATCGGCATTTTAATCAGTGTCTTGAGGTTCTTACTTGGGTGGTTCATGAAGAATCCTATTTAAGAAGTTCTCATTAGAGCAAGGGTCAACAAACTCCTGCCTGTGCCCCGGTGTTTTGTAAATAAAGTTTTATTAGAACATAGCGCCCTAACCGGTTTGGCTCAGTGGATAGAGCGTTGGCCTGAGGACTCAAGGGTCCCGGGTTCGATTCCGGTCAAGGGCATGTACCTTGGTTGTGGGCACATCCCCAGTGGGGGGCGTGCAGGAGGCGGCTGATCGATGTTTCTCTCTCATCAATGTTTCTAACTCTCTATCCCTCTCCCTTCCTCTCTGTAAAAAATCAATAAAATATATTAAAAAAAAAGAACATAGCCACACCCATTTGCTGATGAATTGTCTATGGTTGCTTTCCTTCTACAATAGCAGAGTTGAGTAGTTGCTACAGAGACTGTCATTCTCCCACCCTCTTACTGTTATTATTTACTTACTGCTTTTAAATGTGCTTAATTTTATAAATACATGCATTTAAAAAGGAATCTATATTACTATTGTAAATTAAAATCTGTCTTGGGTAATCATAAAATAAATATAAAAGCAAAAGATGCACTTTTTTATATAAAGTGACAATGTAAGTGCACCTCTGAAAACAGTGGGGATTGTGGTGGGAACGCCCGGGGGAAGGAGACACGTGCCCAGGGAGGGTGGACAGGTGCACATCTGCAGGGTTTGGGTGGGGCTGTGCCCTCCTGAGAGCGGGAGGTAGAGCCCTGGGGTTCCCCTGCGAGGTGCCGTGGCTCACTCTTCTCTGGGTTGTGCTCAGGGCGTCAGCCTGACCACGGCACGGGAGCGCGGGCAGCTGGTCTTCCTCGAGGGTCTCAGGTCAGCGGTGGACGTCTTCTTCCGGGCCGAGGGCGAGGCACACCCCCTGCACTTCCTCAGGTCAGTCCGCCTGCAGCCCAGCCCCAGGGCACAGCTGGTGGGGCCAGCCCAGCGCAGCTGTTGCCTCCCCCTCAGTGCGGAGGGCAGTGCGGCTTCGGTCAGACACGCCCCTGCTGTGGCGGCATTACTGGAAGCCCTTGCTCTGACCCTGGCCAGAGGGTGGGCGGGCGGCTGTCCCCAAAGCTGTGGGGAGCGTTGTCTGCGGGAATCTGGTGGCCGGCTCTGTTTCTGGGAAATGGCCGCCGAGGGAGTCACGGGGAGTCACGGGGAGATGGGCCAGCTCCTCCAGGAACAGGTCACATGTTACACACCAGCCGCCCCGAGACCAGAGCCCCTCACGCCGGGACCCCGAGTTGCTGTTTAGCTTTTTATGCCCAGTTAGGACCGGCTGGGAGGGCTGCTCCCGCCTGCCCAGCCACAGGGACCCTCCAGGGTCCTACCTCGGATCAGAGGCGCGTGCTGCCTCTGTGGGCCTGGGGCTGTTGGCTTTTGTGTCTGCAGTTTGTAGCCCAGTGCCTGGTGCCCAGGGGGCCTCGAGGAGCGTTTGTGTTGAAGCACAATCACTGCACGCACACGCCTTTTCTCGCCGACCACCTGACTCCTGGGGCAAAGGACTGGGATCAGCTCTCTGCCTCCCCAGCCCCTCCCTGTGATGCCACTCAGTCCAAGACGCAGGCTGTGGAGAGTGAGCTCTGCTGACTTCTGCCCCGTGTCCAGGGAGGCCAAGGCCGCCAGCCTGCAGCCGCTGTATGAGTTCGTGCGGGAGGCCCTGGAGCCCGTGGATCAGAGGGAGGCTGCCTGGAAGCGCCCGGTGCTGCTGGTGGACGACCTCAGTGTGCTGCTGAGCCTGGGCGTGGGGGCGGTGGCCGTGCTGGACTTCGTCCACTACTGCAGGGCCTGCGTGTGCTGCCGGCTGCAGGTACAGGGGCCAGGCAGGCCCAGCCCTCGCCGGCTCGCGGTGATCTGTTGACTCATGGCTTGGGGTTGGGCTTTCCTCTGGCAGGCCCAGAAGGCTTTCGGGCTCTCTGCTCCCCGTAGCTGCCAGTGCTAAAGGGATGGCGAGCTGTCTCCAGGGGCTGGTCGTGTGGTACTGCGAGGTCCCAGCCTTGTGTGTCCTGGGCAGGTCACTATCCCTCTGGGTGTGTTTAAAGATCAGTTGAGATAATGGGTATAAATTGCTTTAAAAATCGTGAGGTGCAGTACAAGTAGGCTGTCACCTTTATTGTCAAGTTATTAGGCAAAAATAGAGACTTTACCATAATAGAGATTTGATTTTCTTTTTGGTTAATCCTCACCTGAGGATATTTTTCCATTGGTTTTTAGGGAGAGTGGAAGGGAGAGGGAGCGACAGAAACATCGATGTGAGAGAGACACATCGATTGGTTGCCTCCTGCACGCGCCCGCACCAGGGCCCGCCCCCCCCCCCCCCAGGTGCATGCCCTTGACATGGAACCTGGGACCTCCAGTCCGCAGGCTGTGTGGCTTCAGGTGACGAGCTGGAAGCACAGGCTGGAGGTGCTGGTGATGGGATGTCCAGTGGGTGACGGGAGCCCAGGCAGGGCCCTCCCACAAAGGGGCTGGTCTCGGCGGCGGCGGCGGCTGACGGGGAGAGGGTGTGCGGCCCGATCCTGGGGTCCCTTCCGTCAGGAGAGGCTCCCGTCTGTGTCTGTTGCAGGGAAACATCGTGGCCCTCGTGCACGACAGTGGGGACGCCGAGGACGAGGAGAGCGACGTCCTGCTGAACGGCCTCAGTCACCAGAGCCACCTGGTCCTGCGGGCCGAGGGCCTGGCCACCGGCTTCTGCAGGGACGTGCACGGGCAGGTGCGCAGTGGGCGGCATCCTGCTGGGTGACGGGCTGCCGGCGTCTGTGCCTGAGTCTGGCTCTCACGTGGGAAAGTGTTCTTTTAAAATCGGGACCCGGGCGGCTTTCCCTGAGGCTGGGTGGCCGCCCCGGCTGCCCCTACACGGGGGGGGGGACGGGGACGCTCAGGCGGAGGGCGGCCTGCGCCCGCGGGAGGGAGGCCAGGCTCATCCCCGGCTGCCATGCTTCTCCGCCTTCTGAGGCTTCACCCAGCCTCACCCCAGGCTGACTTCCTGTGGCCACTCCTGCTCAGGGGCACTCAGAGGCCAGTGTGGGGTCTAAAGCAGCACAGCCATGCTGAGCGGCGGTGCCCGCGGCCGGCGTGAGAGGTTCTGCCGGGCGCTGGGGCCTGGCTCTGAAGGCTCAGGACGCGCAGCCGAGACGTCACCCAGACGAGCGGAGCCTCCGGGCCCGAGTGGAGCGCGTTCTAAGTTAGTGCGGCAGCAGGTGCTGACCGAGGAGGGAAGCAGGAGGAGGGCCCCACAGTGACTGTTCCTCTCCGTGGGGAGCGGATGTCACTGTCGTCATGGCGGCTCCTGGACTCTCCGCTGGTAGCAGACAGCCTGGCTGTGGAGTCGGGCCCAAACCTGCGTGGCACACGGGCCAGTGATCTGAGGCCCGAGGGCACGGAGGGGCCGGGAGGGCACGGAGGGGCAGGTGCTGGGCGGGGCCTCTCACGCTCTCCTGTCGCGCAGCTGAGGGTCCTGTGGAGGACGCCATCGCCGCCCGCCCAGCGCGGTCGGAGCCTCACTTTCCAGTACAAGATCCAGGACAAGAGCGTGTCCTTTTTCGCCAAAGGAATGTCTCCTGCGGTTCTGTGACCGCGGGGCAGACGGAGCCCCCGGCGGTTTCCTCACGGAGGGTGAAGCATCTCCGCCTTCGCAGCCGTGTTCCCAGCTGGACTGCGCCCAGGGATGAGCGGACTGTGGCGTGTGCCCTTGTCCCACGTTCAGAAAACACGTCAGGAACCCGCACCCTGCCTCTGCCGAGACAGCTGGGTGAAGGGGTCCTTACACGGCAGCCCGGCCGTTTCCGCTGTGCCTTGGAGCCAGGGTGGGTCTGAGCGCCGGCAGGGACAGTCCCGGTGTGGGCCTCCTCGGGGACAGAAGGGGCCGTCCTGGCTGCCATAGAGGGCGCCCCAGGCGCCCCACATCCTGGCTCCACGGGCGTCTCACAGTTTCCACCTTTGTCTTGCAAAGGTCCTTTCCCTAAGCCCAGCGAAGCTGCAGCTTAGGAGGCTTGAGGCCCGAGGAGGCCACACTGGCTGACCCACCTCCTGGGAAGGGGAGGGCTCCCACCCGTTCAGCTTGGCTCCCCCTGGCTCCCCCTGGTTCCCCCTGGTTCCGTGGAGAACGCGGAGGTGCTGCGGGGAACGGTGAGCAGGCGGAGAGAACAGGCAACGAGCCATGAAACCAGTTCGAGTAGCAGGAAGCGCACAGGCTGCCGTCGCCGGAGAGAGCAGTGGTCCCCTCGCTGGCATGTGAGCGTCCGGAGCGGAGCTTGGGCGAGAAGGCGTGGTTTGGAAGCAGTGCCAGTGCGAGGCCTTGGAATGCTCCTACTTTGTCTCTGAGGGCATCTTAGCTCCTCAGGGTTCAGAAATGTCTTTTCCTTCTTCACTGCCTGGAAGGGCTGTTCCTTTTTAGCTTAAAATAACTTCTAAGTGTTCCTTCACTTTTGACTCATTTAGGATTCATTACGGTCTTGTGCTTTGTCTCCGTGCTGATCATGAAATAGCCCGGCAGTACTGACTGAAGAGAACGTACTCTGATTTATTTACATGTAAAGTTTCTAACATTGAGCCTCTGTACCGTTCACCTATCTAGGTGTTGAAAGGTTAGTGTATCTGTGCTCTCAGGAGTCTTTAGTTTTTTATATCGATTTTAGAGAGAGAAACATCGGCTGCTTATTCCACTTATCTATGTATTGGTTGATTCTTGTTTGTGCCCTGACTGGGGATCGAACTCACAACCTTCGTATATTGGAACAACGTTCTAACCAACTGAACTACCTGGCCAGGGCCTCAAGAATCTTTTTTGAAAGGGTATTGTGCCCGCCCTGGCCGGTTTGGCTCAGTGGATGAAGATTTGGCCTGTGGACTGAAGGGTCCCGGTTTGATTCCAGCCAAGGGCACATGCCCAGGTTGTGGGCTCAATCCCCAGTAGGGGGTGCACAGGAGGCAGCCAATCAATGATTCTCATCATTGATTTTTCTATCTCAGTCTCCCTCTCCCATCTGAAATCAATAAAAAAAAAATTTAAAAAAAATATATATATTATTGATTTTTTACAGAGTGGAAGGGAGAGGGATAGAGAGTTAGAAACATCGATGAGAGAGAAACATCGATCAGCTGCCTCCTGCACACCCTCTACTGGGGATGTGCCCGCAACCAAGGTACATGCCCTTGACCGGAATCGAACCTGGGACCCTTGAGTCCGCAGGCCGACACTCTATCCACTGAGCCAAACCGGTCAGGGCTAAAAAAATATTTTTTAAAAAAGGGTTATTGTGCCCACTTATCCAATGACTTTCACCAGCACTTTGTCAAGTTCTATAAAGTGTTCTTCAGAGACTTTTCCTCATTTTTTAAAACTGTGGTTGTATATTTTTTTATTATTAGATTTTTAAATCTTTATTGTTGCAAGTATTACATATGTCCCCTTTCCCCCCCATTAATGTCCTCTAGCCCACCCCCGTCCCCTGGTTGTATAATTTTATTAAAACTAATGCAGAAATTGATTTAATACCCTCTCAAATGTTTTTTAGTTATTGGAAAAGGACTTACCTGATGTTATTGATTTTTTTTTAAATGGTGTTTTAGACATAGTAATGCAGTTGGCTTTTTAAAAAAATTTCTAAACTCTTCTAATGATTTTCAGATGGAGACTCTTGAATTTGTTAGATATTTCCCTTTTTTTAGGTATCGTTAACATCTGCAAATAATGGTACACACCTTGCTTATTCCTCCCTTGGATAACTTTAGTCAGCACTTTGCAATTTGTGAAATGAGAGTCGTGTGTAGGCATTTGCTGTCCAGTTTCTGTTTTTAATGGAATAGGAAGCATTTTCGTATAATACTTAATTTTAAAATATATTATCAAGTCAGTTTAAAAAATAATCTTGAAGAAGGAAAGGAGAAAGAAATGTTCCTCTTCCACTCCTATCCCCCCCCCCCCTTTTTAAATATATTTTATTGATTTCAGAGAGGAAGGGAGAAAGAGAGAGAGAGAGAAACATCAATGATGAGAGAGAATCACTGATTGGCTGCCTCTTGCACGCCCCACACTGGAGACCGATCCCACAAACTGGACATGTGCTCTTGGTTCATAGGTCAACGCTCAACCACTGAGCCACGCCTCTTTAAGGGCTCGACCAGTAATCATGGAACCCCGTGGACTTCCTCGGCTTCCTCGAGGTTCTGGCGCTTTTCCTATGGGTGTGCTGGCTGTGGTGACAGCTCTCGGGTGTATGACCCTTGAATCCCTCCTGCAGTCTTGTCTTACTAGTATTTGTTCTATTTTCTATAAACTGCTATTTGTTAGGCTTAAGATTTTAAAATTAATATTTATGTTTGAGATGGACTTATTTATTATGGTAGTATACCATCTATAGTTGTGAGCAAAGATGACCTCTAATTATTTTTCTCTGTATTCGTCCAGTCAGGTTTGAACATGAAAATAATACTTGCCACATAAGCAGTGTTGAGGAACTCGCCGCCTTTCATATGCTCTAAAAGTCTTAGTGCTTTTTATTCCAAGTTAGGACTTGCATTGGTCAAGGTCAGGCAACTCTTTGGAATTTTGTCTTTGTTACTGGTCTTTATGGTTTTCTTTATTATCAGTTTTAGTACTAGTTATTTTTCAAATATTTATCTTTTCTATTTGTTTTCCTGAAAAAGTATTTATAAATCATATATACAATAAGAGACTTGTGTCCAGAATATATGAAGAACTCTCACAATTTAATAAGACAACCAGTTAAAAAGTGAGCAAAAGATTGGCATAGACATCAAAGCAGACATAGGAATGCCAACATGCACATAAACATAAACATAAAATACCTAACATAGCCCTGGCTGGTGTGGCTCAGTGGATAAGCATCGGCCTTGGGACTGAAGGGTCCTGGGTTTGATTCTGGTTAAGGGCACGTGCGGGGGTTGCAGCTCCATCCCCAGTGTGGGGCGAGCGGGAGGCAGCCGATCCATGATTCTCTCTCATCATTGATGTTTCTCTCTCTCCCTCCACCTCTCTGAAATCAATAAAAATACGTAAAAAAAAAAAAAAAAAGATACCTAACATAACTAGCCATCTGGGATGTTCCTTAACAGAGAATGCTGCTAATTACCACACAGTTCAGCTAGAATTCAGTAACAGCTACAAATCAGACAGTCCTGTAGGTTTGGAAAGAAGGAAGCGTATACTTCAAGGAGCAGAGGGTCAATGGAAGAAACTGGATAACAATCACTTCACGCTCCCAAAGTGGCTACAAAACCGATGGGCCATGTGCCCTCGCAGGCGTGGCTCGGTGGATAGACAAACCCGGATCTACCCCTCACCCAGGCGACCAGGGTCCATCAAATGTCTCAAACTCCTCAGCCAGCACACCCACAGGGAGTGCCAGAACCTCAAGGAAGCCGAGAGGGGGGCAGGAACAGGGCCATCCCACCTGGCGGTGACGGTGGAGATTAGAGCACCGAGCACAAGACCTACACAACACAAGTGCTCACTAAAGCGTTTACCCAGATCCCTGGCCCGTGTGGCTCAGTGGATAGAGTGTGGGCCTGCAGACTGAAGGGTCCTGGGCTCAATTCTGGTCAAGGGCACGTGCCCTGGTTGTGGGCTCCATCCCCAGTAGGGGGCATGCAGGAGGCAGCCGATCAATGATTCTCTCTTCCTCTCTGAAATCATTAAGAATCTATTTTAAGAAAGAACGGCTACTGTGTTTTGGAATCGAGGCATTTTACATCTGTCCACCTGGATCTTAATTTGTTTCCAAAAGTCGAAGAGGTCAGTGTTGGCTGCATCCTGAAACCGGACTCCTCAGGTGCGGTTCCCTGAGGTCCAGTATTTTCCGGCCACGAGCAGCTGCTGCTGCTAGAACCAGGATGCGGAGCCGAGGAGTCTGGCCGGAAGCAGCCCTGTCCACTTGATCCGTCGCCAGCTGCTGTCACTAGTGCTTAACTCGTGGCGAGCGTGATCACTAGTGCGAGTGACTGCAGAGACGGACCCGAATCGCCATGAAACACCCTTCTCTGTGTCCCGACGGCCGAGGTGCCTGGCCGTGGGTTGGAACCCAGAGTCCTGCGTCCAGGCTGTGGCCACCACGTCAGTTATTAGAGTCACCTCTCTCCCCTCTCGAAGGAATTTTCCTTATTTGTGAAATAGACCCAGCCCGTTTTTCAAGATTTTCATGAGGACTGGCCCAGTGTAGAAGCTTAAGTATGGGAAATTATGACTTCTTTTTTAAATATGTTTTTTAAAATTTATTTTGAGAGGAAGGGAGAGGAAGAGAGAGATAGAAACATCAATGATGAAAGGGAATCGATTGGCTGCCTCTTGCATGTTGGACCAAGCTCGCAACCCAGGCATGTGCCCTTGACTGGAATCGAACCTGGGACCCTTTGGTCCACAGGCCGATGCTTTATCCACTGAGCCAAACCAGCCAGGGCTAAATATGTTTTTATTGATATCAGAGAGAGGGAGAGGGATACCAGCCAATCAGAGCAACTATATGCAAATTAACCCAAGCAAGATGGCGGCCGGCAGCCACGGAGCTGGAGCAAGCAGGAGGCTTGGTTGCCTGGGTGATGGAGGAAGCCAAGCTTCCTGCCTGCCCTGGCCGGCTGTGGCCTCTGCTAAAGGCAACAAAGTTTCAATTATAGAAGCTAAATATAGCCCAGATACCTGCTTCCAGCCAGCCTCCACTGGGAGCTTGGGTGGCTGGGGGTTGTGGCCAGCCTGCAAACAGCCATCAGACCCTCACCCATGCAGGTCACACTCTCATGGGGTTAGGGTCCCCGCTGGGGGGCTTAGCCAGCCTGAAAATGGCCCTCAGCCCCTCACCCAGACTGGCCAGGCACCCCAGCAGGAACCCCCCACCCTGAAGGGGCTGTGGCCAGCTTGCAAACAACCATCAGCCCCTCACCCAGGTTGGCCAGGCACCCCAGGGGGACCCCCTACCCTGAAGGGGCTGTGGCCAGCCTGTAAACAGCCATCAGCCCCTCACCCAGGCAGGCCAGGCACTCCTATATAATAAAAGGGTGATATGCAAATTGACCCTAACAGCAGAACGACTGGGAATGACTGGTCACTATGACACACACTGACCACCAAGGGGCAGATGCTCAACGTAGGAGCTGCTGAGCTGTGGTGACTTGGCAGCTGCGGTTCTTGGGTGACGCACCTGGAACCAGAGAGGAGGGAGCCGGAACCTGGGGTGCGTCACCTGAGAACCGCACTTTCGCAATCCTTGGGGTATGTCGGTTAGCCGGCTTCACCCAATCCCCGCAGGCTGGGCCGAGGGGTCCCACTGGTGCAGAGCCTGTGCACCGGGCGCTGGTGATGAGCAGGAACTTCTGAGGTGCCCGCATTACCGCAGGCTGGAGGAGGGGAGACCCGAGAGGACCGTCCCTTAACGCCTGGAGGGCGGAGCAGCAGGACGCGCGGCCCTGAGTGTGTGTGGGACGCCTTTCGCTCCCGCATCTCTGCGCCTGTTCACCCAGGAGCTTTCCAGGCTGCGGTTCCAGGCCGCCCACAGCCCCGCCCCGCCCCGCCCCGCCCTTCCTCACGGAGCGCTGGCGTCCGCCAGGCGGCCCGCTCGCGGTGAGTAGACGCGAAAGAGCGACAAGTACAGACAAAGACTCAACGGCTAAGGTCATGATCAGAAGTGAGAGTACATACTGGAAGAGCAGGAGCTAGTGTATAGAGTGATGACAGAAAGTGAGAGGATGATGACAGGTTGACTGC